TAAGAAGGGTACTCATGGATGAGGATCGGTGCGGGTGCCGGTATGATATTGTGATTTTGCCACGATCTGCGTTCGTTGTCTTCAGAATGAGAAACGTAATTCCCGCCCACGGTGTACTCGGTATGGTTTGGAAGACCAGCAAATCCAGCGACAGCAGTTGCAGTCCAGGGAATTTGGGGATGAAACTGCGAGTCCTATGAAAATATTAGGAAAAAGACTCATGTTAAGATATCAGAAAACATACCGGCGTCAGTTGCAAGGGTCTTCGTGTAAATGGCGTCGTATCTGAGTCAAAATTCATGCTGAGTGGGCACGACGCGACGGTGTACGCGCCTTGATGAGTGGAGGTCGCGTCTGTAATTCCACCTTGCATCAAGAATGGCTCTGTATCACAGCTCAGCCCGTAACCTCCCTGTGTAATATTTGCCGGCGGTGGAAGCCAATGAGATGATCTGTCACCCAGACAAATGCGCGAAGGTGAGAGAGACCCGCTTTTTGGGCGCCTGGGTGAATATGAATGTGGACTGGGCTCAGCGGTCAGCGGGATGGTCGTATGCAGCGACATGGAACGGAAAGGCGTTCGAGAGGAAGGTGGTGGTGGTAGGAAGGAGAGAAAAAAGTGCGAAGCAACAAGGGCCTCTGCGTATAGCTCATCAGTCAGATTTGGACATAATATCGAAAGAACAGAGAGGCTACGACCCTGCTTCGTGCTTCTGTTGACAGCCTCAAGGTAGGCACTGCCACGTGGTAGTACAAAGCTAATTCAATGTACCGGGCTGATCAAGGACCAGTGACGGTAAATAAGCAATGGTCGCCGTCAGTGAGCCATCGTTTCCCTCTGCAACCTTGTATTCTCTGGAGTGAACAGACGACCAACATGTAACATGATGGGAGAAGATGTTTGAGATTGGAACACAGTCGACAGTGTTGGTATCCGGGCGTTATTGGGCGCATGTCAGGATGACTACCGTGCCATCAATCCTTCAGGCCTGATTCGGCCGTGAAGATTCAAAATACGAAGCGACAATGAACACGGTGTAGGAGATTATGGTGCTCCGTTCCTTTGTCTTCGCTGAATGATCTTCAAGAAAGCTTAAAAAAATCTTTTCTTGGTAAAGCAACGATCAAACCACTAGCGTCAACTTGAAAATTTAGGACGCTGACCACTCAGGAAGATACATATCCCACTATGTATCTTTGCTCGATTCAATTGAGCATGCCATAATATTCATTACACGTACCGCACTTAGATCTCTGCCGTTCGAAGAGAATATCGACAGTAGAAAGCCGGTTGGTGATCTACTGTCCGAATCTGATCTTGATGGGCATCCTCTACACCGACCCCGAAGGGACACGCTTCGGCCACGTAAAAATTTTGGTTACGTTTCGAGGTTCTTTGAGTCCTCAGTGCAAATTTCTCCTTCGTCTTGCTTGTATCCCCAAGGGAAAACTTAAAAGCTAGATCTCGAGCCACCCGAAGAGAAAACTGACGAAAAAGAGGGATGGAATCATTGGGACAGGTATTGCACCAGCCCAAGTCGAGGAAATGTCGATGTCAAGCCGTAGGTAATCAGAAGCTCGGGTGAAGGAGCTGGGCGTCGGATAAGAACCAAGATGTCAGCTTGCCGCTGCTGGAGCCGGGCGTATCGGCTGTCCCCGGAGAGATCACTTTTGGCACCGATACACACGCCACTTGCACACCACATACCGTACGCAAACAGAAGTGAGGATGCTGACTCTTGTAATACATTGTTACTTTTTTTTTCCAGAATTTCGGACCTTTCTATCACTAGATATTCATGATCCGCACTGCGAAAGGAGATCTCTCTGAAACGATGCTTCGGCACTTTCCATGCAGATATTGACTCATAACAGCCTCCTCGTATGTATGTGTTTGACTATAGAGATGAAACATGAAACTGTTCCCCAGGATGTAAACAGCACCTAGGACCAAAGAATAGTGACTGATCCTCAACCGCTACAACGTCATGATCACCACACTACACAATAACCTGTCTTCACCGAGGCAAAGCCATCGTGCTGGTTCGGATATAATGCACAAGAAACTAGGTCAACGACTCTCGAGTCTCCACTATGTCCCTTGATAAAATATGATGCTACTGTCCGAGCTACAGAACTCTGTAAAGAAAACCCAGGTATCTCTGCCCATTCAGAGCGACGCGGCAACTAAACCGTGTAAAAGAAATACACGCGCTGAAACGAGAACACCAAAGAATAGTTATGGCTATATCCCGGAACAAAAGACATTTCGAACAGGGGGTCATTAGACCGAATACGCAGGGGGAAGCGCCATCACATCTTCCAGAATGACCCTGCGCTGTACACTCTTCTCCAGGATATACCTGTCGATCATGGAGCTCTCACTGCCCGGATCTGGGTTAACCACGAAAAGGGAGTGGCAGGATGAGATGAAGTGTTGGCTTGGGGCAGGCACTCATACAAGATTGGGGCCGACGTCAACGGTGGAGATATCTGGGAATGGCGACTAAGCTAGCGTCTGCGGTATAACAAACAAACCGCGATGAATCCAAGCGTAGCCAACACACTGAAAGAGACCCCCAGCCCGATAGCGAGAACTTTGGCACCGCCACTAGCATCGTTATCTGAACTGCGGGCAGCTGTGGTCGCAGAGGCAGAAACAGAAGTAGAAGATGCCTGATCTACGAGGCTACTAGACCCAGCAGGCAGCAAAGTCGAACTCTCCATGCTCGCCGTATTATTGGTGTCATCATTAACCGTAAATCTATTAGCATCGTCAGCTCCAAACGCGATATAAAAGCGGAAAACTGCTCACATGAACCCGTCGACAATCGTCCACCGTCCTGCAGCAGCTATAGACACGACAACCTTATGTCTTTTATTTTCCAATCCAGTCCTTGACCAGTGAACTGCGTATTTCTCCGGCTCTGGACCCCCGCGGGGGCTAGCGCTCTGCCCCCCCAGGATATGTGAGGTCCACAAACGTCGCACCTTCACCATCAAGGGTGACGGCGGAGTTCATTGGGTACGACCATCGGGGAGAGAGGAAATATACCCCAGTACCTAACAGAACTGTGGTGTCAGGAAACACTCGTAGCACGGAAGACGATAAATTACATGTGAAGGTTAGCGTTGTCGAAGCAGAAGGATTGCTGCTAACTGCGTGGCTGCCGTTGAAGGCCACAGAAGTAGCATCACTCGCATTCCAGTTTCCAGTGTACGAAATCATAGGATCTGTGTCGTCGATGGTGACGTTGCGCGGCTCGCCGTGGGATGAAAGAACAAAAGAAAACAAAGTGATGTATAAGAATAAAGAATGCATGAGAAGGGACGAGAGAACAAATGTCGAATGATGAGATGCAGAAAGAGCTTGATCTCTGAAGTTGTGGGGAGCGCGGATCTCTTTGACTATGATGTGACTCAGTGGGTCCAGGAGAACAGCATTGATGGGCGTACTGAAGGTCCTAGTATTCCTTGAGAATGACACAGGGTCGCTGAACATCGCAACTTACTCCAGATGGTTGTACTAGGTCAGAAGAACAAGGGAACTCTGGGCGCTAGAACATGAAACGAACTGTCCGGGTCTAATCACTGTCGGATATAGCTTAGAGTAGAGGGCAACGTAGCATATTTTCACCCTGCTCTGAGTTGCGAATGACACGAGAAAAGAACCATTCCTCAGAGAAAGGCAAATCAACTTTTAAGTTTTACGAGAGAATGTAACCAGAGGCAGATGGACTGGCCGCATGCGCTATCGTCGCTGCACCTCCACAACTGCCATCCGAGATTTGTGGTCAATCAATCGCATGGGAATCACCAGCAACTAAAATCACTCTCACATGACCTGAACTGTGATGAAAGTTAGCCGCCTGGTCGTGAAGGAGGAGATGGAGAATACCTCTGAAGGTGCGTCTTGTTCAGAAAGGATTGGCTGGATAGAATCATCTCGTGTTCGGTAACGAAGGTATTTCGGGCGCTATTTTGGAGAGTTGATACCTCGTTGGCAGCAGAGACGATCTTGGTGTGAGATGTGACAGAAGGAAGTTACAACTTAATGGCTCATGGTGGGATCTAACGCATTAACAGCGGACCTTGAAGGAACCAACAATCGAGAATAATCCACATTCTGCGAGTGTGATCAACTTTGCTAATTTGGGACACGCGAGAAGAAATGGGGTAAAAAGCACCTCGCGAAGTCTGTGTTGATGTGCAAGCACCAGACAAAGAGTTAAAACTTTTTGGACAAAGTTCCTGTCATGATAAAGTTGTAAATGGATGCTGACCAGCACGACCTAGAAGAATATCTGTCAACAGCTTAAATTAATCCCAAAGCTGTAGTATCACCGTTGTAAGGAGGAGGCGAGTCAACTCACGTCTAGCAGTGCCCGCCAATTTGGGCCTCTTTGCGATGACCGGTATTACCGGCGAGACCGGGCGCTGAAGATGGAAGGTCCCACAAGCGCAGCCTGCGCAACAGATAATCGCTTCCTCGAATGTGACTCCGACAAGGCTCGGGGTGCCACTGAGGTCTGTCAGTTTAGCAACGGTCCTGAAAATTCACCGAAGACTATTCGATAGAGGGGGATGTTGTATAAATGAGAGAACAGGAAGCACCATGAAGATCATATGCCATAGCCGCGTTCAGAAGACAGCTCGTTTGGTCATTATAGTGGCTTCAAGTATTCACAAACCAGCGAGCATTATCTAGCTTCGTGGGCCAGCATCAGCTAATGAGATAATCTGTTTGCAATGTACCATTCAATTGCACGCTCCGGCAAAGAGCAAAGCTCAGCTGCTCAGTATCGCTGATATGAACTAGTAGGATTCAGAAATCAGTTCCTGTGAGGGGGTTTAGGATTTACCACAAGGAAAACGTGTGTGATGGTGCGTACGCCGTGAACTTTGAAAGTCTGTGACAGTTACTGAGTGACTGCCAAGAAGACAAAACATTGAAGCATTTGGCTTGCTGTCAATATAAAGAAGGCAATGGTTACATTTGTGCTGTCGTAGCGCAATGGTAGCGCGTCGCTTTCCTACTTTGGATTAGGCGAAGGTTGCGAGTTCGATTCTCGTCGTCGGTATTATGAGTGAATGTAAAGGAATTTTTCAAAAAATTAATTTGCTGTGTGGGCTTTTTCGACTTTGAAGCCTGTACTCTGGACTAGGGCTGTGCATGAAACCTCCAGGGGAGGTTTCATACCATTTTGTACCTACCCTTCCTGGAGAGTTTCTTACCGGTACAGTAATTTACCCTTTCTTACTGGTCATGGGACTATTCATGTGACCACCATGGAGCCATTTTTCCAAATCTTTCTGTACAGCACCATGACACTATGCTGCCCCATTGTTGTACCTCAAATACTCATGAATTCTGTCCCAATACCCATCAGGATTCTCTGGCTATGTCTTCTTACTACTTACTGCTCTGCAAAGTGAAATCACAAAAACATCAGTGGTAATATTGTTATGTGGTCAGTAAGTTACCTCAATGAAATATGCACTACTGACCTGTGGTATCTTACCAGTTTCTTACTGGTAACTTACCAGTCCGAAACTGGGGTGTATCAAAACTGGGGATTTTGTGTGCAACCCTACTCTGGACTCTGGACTCTGGAGCACATGCCGCAGGCCTAGAAAGTATTTGCCACACTGAAGGTGATGGTGGTTGTTGTTTTTACTGATTCTTCCCAATGACTCAGGAGTCATGCCCTGTGGTAAGGCAATTTATCCTTACTTATGGACATTACCTCTCACATGCACAATCATGCAGCAATTCAACAGCTACCATGGCTTAGGGTTCCAGACTCATCCTACACCAGGACATGCTCCTGTCTTCCATTCATTGTCTTGGAGATACCAACCTAGCTTCAATAGTTGACCAAATGGGATGCCTGAACCATTGTGTACAGTTGGCTATTAGTAAGTGTAACTAGCCCCTACTTATGTTGGTGTTCAAATTAAGCCTATTTGTTCAAGGGGCTACTGGAATGTCAGGCTAGAACACTGGGTGGGTAGGTAGGTTGGGCCAGCAGGCCCAAAAAAAAAAGTTGACCTCACTCAAATTATGTTGTCATGGGTGTAAATCCTCATGTAATTGAGATATTATTATACTTTGAAACCAATCTTGATCTGGATGGTCTTCACTTCACAATGATAGTAATTTTCACACTTTATTATTATCATTAAACACTTGCATTAAAAACCCTTAGCTGCCAGTTACTATCAGCCAGGCAATTAGACAAGAAAATTAAAATACAGATTTCTGTGGAAAGATGTTTGGCATTGTGATGCTTGCACAAGGAAGAAAGGGAGGCAATAGAAATGAATTCAAGGACATTTGGTTTCTGGATGAATTGTAGGCAAGTTGAAGGTAATGGGCAGGCTAAAATATATCCTGAAGTTTGTATAATATTTTGGATGATATATTCTATTGGGTAATGATACAGTAGTATTGTCTGAGGGCTTCTTGAATCATCATGAGCATTGAGCAAACATTGATGAACACCTGGACCAAGGTCACATGTCATCCCTGGCAACAGGCAGCTGCCCAAAATAGTAATGTAACATCATAATAGTCACGTGGAGGTAGGTAGGTTTGATGCCCAAGCCTGAAATATTTTAATCGACCCACTGTGTTTTTTTTTTTCAAAATGATAGCCCCTTGTTGTTAGACCCTGGCCAATATTCGAGGGACAAAGGTAGGTCTAAGGCTGTCTCGCGTTCGGGCAGTCACCTTAGAGATCCTTGTTAGAGTCCGGAATATGGTAGAGGTACAATTGGATAGCCTTTCAGCGAGTGAGTCGGCAAGATAGAGTTATATAAACTATAGCTTGAAGCTGAGGTTACATGCTGGACTTTACCGTCCTTATATACTAAACGTTGGATCTAATAATAGTATCAAAAGATGGGGAAGATGGAATCAAAGGGTGGTATAGCAGATTGCGAGAGGATTGCGCAAGTGGGCTGGTCCCGTGATGCGAAAGTACGATGAGATAAGATAAGATAAGTAAAAAAGTGAATAAATCGTAACACTTGTGTTTGTTTAAATTCACTTCCAATATTGTACACCATCAATCTAATTTTATTTCTAGATGCTCACTGAGATCCATCACCCTATGAAGACAGTGTGAGTATCATTTTAAGTTTATACCTAGTAGATGACATGATGACACTGCTCTCTGTTGTTTTCTCACTATTGTAATATACAGGCTTTATCTCAAGTGTCTATAAGGCTCCCTTCAAATACAAGTAAGATGGGTCTATGAACTCCTAAGGATATCAAAGGTTATGCACCAAATACAAAATCTGCTGGGCCAATGTACATTGCATCTGCATGTCTTGATGGTCTCATGCTCTGAACTTATGGACACTTGCCATATTTCAGGCCTTCAGGGACCATGATCCCATAGAGATGTTGATGCCCTGCAATAGATATAAAGAGATTGCCACAATGGAGACTTGCAATGCCCAGCATGCATAGAGATATACATTGCAATTTAACAGACTCAATGAACAGGTTTTTTCTCAATATCCAAGATAATGGTGCTCAGTGGAGGTTGCTCAACTGTTGAACTGAGCAACATTGTGGATGATGAGTCAGCACATGGAATTGTGGGCCATTGGGATGTCACAGTTGTTTCCACACACTACCTAGTTCCAGAGGGCCCAGCCATAGGGCTTGGGCTTCTTCCTCTCCTTCCATGATAGATTCCGATATCAGTCTCGGGGCTGGGGGCTCCTGACCTGTCCTGCCTATTCAGCGAGACAGGGGGCATGTGGAACTGGTCCCTTCAGTAGGGTTCGTATGTCATGTGAATGGGCTGAACTTGACCATTGTAAGGGGGAATGTAGAATTGTGGGAGGGTGGGTGGTGGGTAGGTTAGTGGTCTTCTAGGTCCTAGTCCATGTCGTTTGAACCAGTTTCGGTTTCTGCAATATATAGTGGCAGCAAAGAGGGTTAGTCCGACTAATGCTGCTGCTTCTACAAAGGCTCCTATGGCTGCATTTCTGAGTGTCTCGTCAATGTCGGGTGTTTGTTGGAGTGGCATATGGAATCCTTCCTGTGTCTGGGGTTGTGGAAGGGTGAGGGAAGCTTCGAGCTAATTGTTAGGGCCAACTCTCACATGACTCGTAGTCGGGCAATTGGTAAGCTGTCTCACGTTCAGACAATCACTTAGCCAATGCCTCGGATGACTCGAGGTGGTGAAAGAGGTGCTTTACTAGAGAAGCTCTCGGCAAGCAAGCAGACAAGTAAAGTCTATGTGGTAGGTAAACCTTAGCTCAAAGCTGAGGTTGTACAGTGAAGCGTAGCTACTTAAATACTAAAGAGTCGGCCCTAATAATAGCTACAAAAGTTTTGTAGAAGTCAAGAGGTGTGCTAGTCGGGCGACGAGCATGCAATATCATGTGTTGTCCATCATGAAAGATTTATCGAAGCTGATATCGGCAGTTATGAGGTGTTAGTGCATAAGCATGATGATGCCGATAAGATGAGGTAAAGCTAGAAAAAGGAAAAAAAAGTGAATAAATCGTAACATCTAATTCCTCCTCAAAGTCCATCGGGTTTGGAGGAGGAGGAGGAGGAGGCAGTGCTGGAAAGTACAATTGTCAACACAGGTGTGTCAAAGGTGGCTTGGGTGGTTCAGAATGGCCGATGGATTCTAGAGCTTCCCAGTAGGTGAGCTCTTCTTCTACTCGCCTCTGAATCATATGAGGAGGCGTCAGGGGTTTCAGCTGGTTCTGTGGGATTGGTGACCTGTAAGGTCATCGGGGGGAGAGTCTCGCTATCTGGCCAGGGCTGAGGGGCCTCAGTTGTAGGTATCTGGCAGAGGCTTCGCTCCAGTTCTCTCCTGGTTTCCTCCAGGCGGTCTGTTCCAATTTCATGGTAGGCTTGGATAAGGTCTGTGATATCTCCCTCAAAAGAGGGAGTACTCCTTGCATCGTCAGAGGAGTGCCTGGTTCCAGAGAGGCCAGCCACAGGGCTGGGGGTTCTCTGTCCTCTTCTTCCGATGTCAGACTTGGGGGCCAGAATGTCCCTGGTCGATTCTGGGTGTGTCTCGAAGTTCTCCTGCCCATAGATGGGGTAGTGTGTGGGGTACATCAGAACATTGTAGGGAGGGATGTAGAAGTGGGATAACATCGGGGGTGGGTAGGTTAGTGGTCTTCTGGGTGCCAATCCATGGTGTTCGAACCAGTCTCTGTGGTAGTAGAAAATGACAGCAATAAAAGTTACTGTTCCAACTACTGCTGCTGCAGTAAAAAGGGCTGTTATGGCCACATTCCTTGTTTCTTCAGTGATGTCAGGGGTTTGTTGGAGTGGCATATGGAATTCTTCCTGCATCTAGCATTGTGGAAGAGTGAGGGAAGCTTCGAGCTAATTGTTAGGGCCCAACTCTCACATGACTCAAGATAAAGTAATCACTAAGCTGTCTCGCATTTGGACAATCACTTTGGCGATACTGTATGGCAATCTCGAGGTGGCAAGAGAGGCACTTACAGGAGAAGCTCTTGGCAAGTGAGCAGACAAGTAAGATTTATATGATGTTAAACCTTAGCTCGAAGCTGAGGTGTTACAGAGAAAGTGTCCCTACTTATATACTAAAATGTCGGACACTAATAATAGCTATGAAAAAGATGTGAAGATTAGATCAAAGAATGTCACATGTAGAACAAGAGGTGTTGGCATGACAACCATGGCTCATGGTGCAGTGAACATGTGTTTGTCATATCAAGGCTGATGTGCAGTGTTCATGCGGCAATAAGAAGTGCGATAAGATGAGATAAGACTAGAAAAAGGAAAAAAGTGAATAAATCGTAACATGGCAGGAGTGCTACAGGATGCTATATAAGGGCGGACCTGAGTACAGGGCTATCTGGGCTATGCAGCATGCAGTACTGCTATGTAACTCTGAATTTTTTCCTAATGTAATAAGCTTCTTCTGAAGAACTTCCTATTCTCCCTTGACTGAGTCAGTTGGACTGACTTTCTGGTTCTTTGTAATTCTACCCCTGCCACACAGTATTTGAAGCTGACCAATAATCTGGCATTGCCAAGGGGGTACCAGAATTGTGGCCTGGCACA